TGGCTACTCCAGCCGTGGAACGCCAACGCCAATTGGGTGGTGGCTTGCGAGCCTTCAATCCAGATCTCTTGGAGTCCCCTGGAGCCGGCAGACGTATGGATTTCCGAAGTCCTGGTGCCGTCAACTTGCGTGAAGTCTTCGACGTCGGTTATGCTGTTCATAGACAAGAAGAGGAAGCTAAAAGAAAGAAGAATTTCAAGCAAGGTTATAGAGGAACTGCCGCCCTGAACCCCCTCAACCCTATCGATGATGAAGATTTCGATGAGAGCGACGAAGAGAACTATGATGAGAATGGAGTACCTTCAAAGGCACCCAAATCTGGGCAATCGGATGTTGCTCAAGTCGGTGATGCCCTACGAAATACAAAACTGAATCCAAAATCCGCAGCTCCGGCTAGAGGTTATGGACAGCACAGTGCTCAGGTAACCGCATCTGCAAAACGAGACATCAAACCAAGGAATGGCGCTTTCGAACTCAATCTCGATGGAGCAACTCTACTCGGTCGACGTCACAAACAACCACCGCCAAGCAATTTGAGGGAGTCAATGGTTGCGCAATAGCATTACTGTTGAGAATAGCGGAATTCATTTGTTGTCTTAGAATCCTTTTCATTGAACAAAGACCAATTGTGCTATTCAAAGCCCTATTTACCCCCGACTGCAATTCTATTCCTTTTATTGCAATGCATCGAGGCCCCCCTCCATAAATAAATACATGGCGAACACCATGTTTGATATTTGCATAATTGCGGCATCAAGTTTCTTTGGGACAACATCATGCCCAAGTTGACCAAGCATGATAATGATTCGAAGGTCAAACATTAAATACGATTCATTATATGGGGGTAATTTATTCGTGTCTTTCATTCGTTGGTTCACATTGGCGTTTGGAGATGGGAAATAAATTGCCGGGGGATAATGTGTTAATGACTGGCGGTGTTCATGGGCCTCTGATCATACTTTCTTTTTTCACTTCATTATTTCATGCAGCCGCTTCAGTTGGGGATCATTATGAACTATTGGTCACACGAGGCAGATGAACAAGTCTAGTACTGTCTGTAGCAGTACTATTCCTGATAGTTTAGATCCTTGAAATACATTCTTTTCCTTTAGGTTTCTCTGTTAAGCATTCATAAATCTTTTGCGTTAGGGGGTTGGTAGGCAGATAAATGGTGCTGGGCCAGTAAATAGATTTTAAAGATCAACGGACTTTTACATATCAAAATTACTTTTTGTTTCTATGATGCTATGCTATGTGATAATTTTGGTGTGTGAGACATTTTAATGTCATAACATAGTACAACCAAGAACAGAAAAAATCTCACTATCTTATCATTGCCTAGGATTTGAAGTCCGTAAATTGATCTCTGCACATCGTTGAATGTACAGACTCCAAATCCTAGGCAATGATATTAATGATGTCACAAGTTGAGTCTCGATAGAGAGGACTTTTGTGTTCGCTAAGATATTGTAATAATGTCAAAATATAGATTGGCTTATGGCTAGGGAAGCTTGATATTGAATGATTTCTTGGGAGGCTTAGTGAAGGATGAATGGGAGTATGGTGTATTAAGGTAGGTGGGTAGGCGGATGGATGGATGAATGGGGATGGATGGATGGGGGTATAATTCATCAAGATAGGTGGGTAGGCGAGTAGGCGATTCGAGCGGGTAAAGTAGGTAGTGTAGCAGTGTAGATCGTGTAGGTATGATTCGTTCGTTTAACAAGAGTATAGATATACGCGACCGCTTGTGAAGCGAGCGATGTGATGCGACGTGATGCGACGTGATTATGGTAGGCGAGGCGAGGAGATAGTGCTAGCTTGAATAGGTGTATATTGTATACTGTGTGATATAATTCAGGTTTGGCTTTCATGCTCTTAGGGATATAGATTGGTTTAATGGTAGACTTTTCTGATTTTCTGGGCGGAGAAATCTGAAGTCTTGGATGTTGAGTTTGAGTTATGCGCTAGGATGGTGGTGATGGGAAGATTGAGAGTTTGGGCGGGGGGGTTGAGGTTGAACTTGAGTTGTTGGACGATAGGTTGGCCTTATATGTGGATATGTGGGTTTGTGGGTTATCGTGCTGTGAGGGTGGGCGATTGCGGGGCTGAGATGTATATGCGTCATTTATTTGGGGGAAGTTTGGGAAGGTTAGGGGGAGTAGTGTTGACCGGCTGGAGTATTATGGTAGAATGTTTTGTGGGGTGGTAACATAAGATGATGAAAGGTTCGGACTAGTGAAGTGATCATTCTGCTAGTGCGCACTATATCGTCTCGGTAGTATGGACTTTAAAAACTTGGAGCTTTTGAGTTTGCTGAGTGTTGTTTTGATGGTTTGTATATGGACTATAATAGCTTATGGATAGTCTGTTTGACTGAGATCTATGTTGACGTTATGTAGAGCTAGTATAATAGTGCGAACAGAGAAGAAACTAGAGGAAGCTTGTATTTGAAAGTTAAAATAGTTACTAGCGTAGTATTGAGTTGTGTTTGACAGGATATGATGAAAGGTCAGAGGCTAACAGAATCTAGAATGGAGTGACTAGTATGTTAGCGTATGCTGATGTCTTGGGGATGTGCAAGCAGCAAGTGTGGGGTGTATTGTATGAGCTAGGTGTATAGTCGGTTGGCTAGTGATGGGTAGAACATAAAAGGGAACTGGGGATTACCCGTAGGATCGATATCGTGGCTGGAGATCTTGAGTTGACTATCTGTAGGCGACTTAGTCAATTGATTAGATTCATTAGATAGTGATATGAGTTAATGCTTATCTAATATCATGCAGAAATTATTCCCAGAAGCCAGAAGGGTGTTCATAAGGCTTAAGTCATGGGTGAAGAAAATTGTGAGGGAATTTGAAGTTTATTTCACAAGATTGTAACTTCTCATGACTTTCTTTTTGTTTGCAACACCTGATCACAATTGGCTGATTACTATTTCAGTATGAAAATTCAAATTGAAATGCTTGTATTGATATTACAACTCGAATTCAGAGTCGATTTCTAGTCCTCGGATTTGGAGCTCCAGGATGGACTGTGGAAAATGGATGGAATCGTGAAATCTTGTGTTGATGATGTTGACAGGTGTTGATGTCATGGTTTCCTTAGCAAATTCAAGATTTCAGATTCGAGTAAGTGTGTGCATAGGAATGCTTATAAGTGTGACGACAAGAATTATAGAGCTGTTACAATATTGATAATATCATCAGAGTATACTCAAAGATAGATCACCAGACAAGCATCGCACTGTGACCAAGAACTTTATACAAGAATCTAGAACCCCGTTTAACATCTTGAGATTTCCTCTATTAGTAATTAACCGTGTTCTCTTACTCGAGATCTGCGAAACACCCGAAAGTTCTAGTGTAGATAAATTTTCCGATCTCAAATCGGCTCTAAGAAAGGAAGAGATACACAAAATGAGTAATACGTCCAATCAAATTTACTCAAGCTCAGAGATGGAGAATTAGAGTTCTATAGATAGGACTGGTTTTCATCCATGGTGCGGGGATTCCCATACTATTCACAAGTTTGACAGCGGAATATCAGTTCATTCGACTCCGTCACTTAAAATCAGGGGAATACTTAGCGAGGAGATTCAAAATTTCTGGATCCTGATTGGTGAACCTTTAGGGCATCTAAGTGTACTCAATAGGGACCTAGCTATTATGTAAGTAGTATCTGAAAGCCAGACTATTACAGTCTTGGCACTATGTATACCTTGATGTCTGAATGTTGGATAAATATTATTGCAATCTGTCAAACTTGGTGACTAGCTGCTGCGTAAGTTGTTACAAGACTTTCCGAGTTTCGCTTATCACCCATTCCCGCCCCCCATTATCCAGATATAAATACTAGAGCCATGCCTTGTTTATCAATTGAATAGATCATATTTGCAAGCGTAAAATGTCTATGAATTCAATAGACTCGACTACCATTAAGCCGGGCATGTCCCTAAGGACATGAAAACCACTTTATTAGTTCCTCTGCATGTTAACTTGTGTTTGGCATTTTTTTGTTAATTCGACTCGAATTACTCCATTGATATCGCAAAGTCTTCAAGAAGCATATTGTTTCCCGGAACACCCGGAGCTACCAAGAAATGATCATCAAGTTATTCATATTGAGAGGTTCTAATAGCGACTGGCAATGTAGGGCATAGGAAGGATGATTATTCCAAGTTTACACCTTTCCGTGCCTTTTCGACATTTTGCCATATATCAGTACATAGAGGTCAGCAATACTAAGTGATGTTGAGTGACCAGAAATTTAACCGTTGTTGCGTGCGTGATCGATTTAGTAATGGGATTTAGTTGCAAGCTACTACTATATGCAAGGCATATAGAGATGATCTACTCGCGCTAAGCTAGATGAGGTGTTAGATCTACTTTACTATTATCCTAAAGCTTTTTAGTAATATTAATAAGCAGACTATATAATCTGGTGTTATAACTGTGTGTACAGCTTTTCATTTTAATTTATCTCTTATACAAACCTTCGTACATATTGGTTACTCACTGTTGATGAATTTGCCGAATTTTTGATGACTCAGTTTGTTCAAGACTGTCCATTACCCTCATAGTTTAATAGTCGCTCAATTTGAGTGAGTGTACGAGACAAGGAGACACCATTGGGTTATGTGTATCATCGGGAATTTTTCCACATCTTGAATGCTTTGTTCTATATATCTAGTTCGGTACTCTATGGAATCATGGATAAAGTGATCGACTAGCATACTCTCTATAATATCACACGAGATTTAGGCTCTCAAATCATCACATCTTACGCGTTCAGTATGGCGCTACACTTGATCATTATGGAGTGGTAACATAGCAATATAGCAGACCGACATCAAATGAGCAGTATCATGCTTGTAGCTCCTAGGACCACAATTTGTTCGGGTATACGGGCCAAGATGAAATCTAGGACCACTTGCGATGTCAAATACTCGTGCCACGGTGAACTCGTGTTTAATGTCACAGTTTGCGGAAGCAAATCTTGTTATAGTCCCATTTCTCGGGACAGTTTGAACTATCAGAATCTTGATAATTTGAAGCGTTGAAGTCCCAAGAAATATGATGAAATGTTGCTTGGCTAACGTCACATACGATGCATACCAAAGACGTAGGATGGGTGTAGTGCTTGATGATAAAACTCAAGATAGTATTATCTCCTGACTCCAGATTTCAAACTATTGAAAATTATGACCGACGAGAGATTCACTGACAATAGTAGCAAGGCCTATACTAGCTAAATCGTGGTATAATCATAGTGTCATAATTCCAACATGAGATCACAGAAGAGATTCATCGGCGTCGTCATTCTTAAGGTCTTCAAAAGTATTTCTCTCTTCTTATCACATATAGATTTAAGCCAATGCAATACATTCGATCTCGACCGGAACACCCTTGGGCAATTGGTATACAGCAACACAACCTAGAGCAACATCGTTAGCACATTCATTCATATCCTTCAGACGTCATTTAAGCCTTAATATCCACCTCTCTCTCTCTTAATTAAAGGGGCAGATCAACTCACTTCTTGCAGGCTTATGCTTGAAGAGCTTCTCATAGACTCCGTTCATTTCTGCAAAGTTGTCCATGGTAGTCAAGAAGACATTGACCTTAACAACCATCTCAATACTGCTTCCAGCTTCCTTAAGAACGGCAGACAAGTTCTTGATGCAAAGCTCGGTCATGGCAGAGATGCTGGAGGTCTCGAGGATGAGAATTTCGCCTTCGGGTGTGCATGGGATTTCTGTAAGAGAAAGGTCAATTGAATGTTTCCGGTGACATAGGATATTATGGCCAAGGAAATGGAATTGGAATAGGGGGCAAGCTTACGTCCAGAGCAGTAAATAGTAGATGAAGTCTTGATGGCTTGGGAGTAAGGTCCTGCTGCTAAAGGGTTGTTAGATTAACGTGTAAAGGAGGTAATGCTCTCAGTTTAGTTAATGTCCACAGGAATTAGAAGAGGCTTACGGAAAGCAGCGTCCTTGGTGTAAACTGGAGTAAGGTCCGACATATTAATATTTGATTGATATGATTCGAAATATATTCTCGGGTTGATTCTTGAAAACAGTTTTGTACAACGATAGAATTTATAGCATTTTATCAGCGAGGTCGGAGGGGAGATGTCAAGCTTGTTGACGACAAGGTGGGGTGAAGCTTCAGACTTTTGGCGGGGCACGCACGGGCCCAACCATGCATATAATCTAACCATATTTGGAACAACGCGATTTGTTTGATGAAAGTCAGCTTCAACGACATGTTAAAAAGTTAACTCATCAATATTTCTACGAAAAGTTTACACGACTTGTTTTCCTTTGAAAGTTTTTCTCGGTGGCTGATATAATGAGCGAATACCCGGTCGGACGAGTGAATAGCATTACGGACAACACTATCATCTGAAAGGTCGATGTCGAGCAAGGTGCACTGCCTATTTGGCGCATTCCCACCCTTACGAAAATGAAAATTCGCTGCCTGTGTTTGTCCGCAGACGGGATGACAAGTTCGAAGTCGATGCCGAAGGGAACAAGCTCTCACTCAAAGAAAACGAGGATAAAAAGGGTCATCATCCACGAAATATCGCTCCAAAGCTATACTTTTATCTGCTTCACTTTGTCGCTTCCTACGTTCATACGCCTGGCATATTTGGATATGATTTTATTGTGCGGAAACTTCTTGCTCTCGAAAGCGAGCTCTCATATGAATCACAAGCCACTACTTACGAGAACGACTGAAAACTGCTAGGAGATCGAACTTATATTGAACACGTATATACATTGGAATTGAACATACGAAGTACACCATGTACGGGCCTTTCCGAAGAAAATCCGCCATTCAGGAACATTTTTCTGCTTTAAAGAACTGGATATAAGAGAGGGAATCAAAATTCAGATACGGGGGCTCAATAATTATATTTCAAGAAAGTCACCGCCTATTATCCAAAATCAGCGAGGACGATAATTTGTGGTTCAGACACTTACCTTTTCAAAATCGTATCTGCACGCTTCCAAAGCTATGGTGACAGCGTTTCGAGGATATCCCAACCTTATTAGATTGCTCACACGAAGATCTTCCGTCAATACGAAAGTAAGGTCCTGTCTTTGCTGGCTTTTGGCTGGTCTCGCATTGCGTATGTAGGCAGTGGCTGCTTGATCTACCTAGGTCAGTTGCGACTGGCTTGGTTCCCACAGTTATCTTACATTGATTTTCCATTTTTGAATACGCCGATGCTTCTTGTCTTTCGCTCCCAACAACACGTCGGGGCCTTCCAGCTTCATAACACCCAAGACAGTCACAGAAGTGGAGATGATCATCGCAATCTTCCTCTAAATCCGGTGTAGGTAACCGTGTAGGTCGAGGTGTGGGTGGTGGGTCTCGCTTCATGGGAGGACTTGGGACACGGGGAGGATATCGAGGTTGAGTACTGGCTGCAATAAGCTTGAATTGATGGTTTTGAACAGCACTGTCAATTTGAGCCCCGAATTCCACTTGGTACTGTCGATCAATGGGTTCATCCTGAGTTTTGCGACGATTGAATGCTTGAATTGGAGTCGAGCTGAGGTCATAGCAGGAAGAACCTGCCTTGAACGATTTCGAAGATGATGGAATCTTTTTCCTTCCCGAATCCTTAGTAACATTGATGGCGGTGGCATTGTTCTTGTGTCTTTTATCATTTGAATTTGTCTTGAATTCGATGGATTCGTCGCCAACTGCTCTAGGAGCGAAATGGACAAATTTCTGTCTGGGAGCAGGTGACCTTGGATTCATTTTGGAGAATTCAGACGAAATAGGCATTGCTTTTCTATGAACGGCGTTCCATTCTATTTCATATGGTGACACAGTAGAGTCGAAGTAATGATGCGTCGGTAAGTTCTTGATGCTGGGAGAAGTATTTCCTGCCATTTTACAGTCTAGGTCGTTTTTATGTTGATGATTAGGGATGACAGCTTGATGATTGAAGATGGTTTGTTTGATGAATCACTTGAAGGTGATGAGCTGTTGATGGCTTGCGTTGACCGTGCTGGTAGTCTGACGAACCTAGAGGGAATCATCAAGCGATGATCAAGCCGAGCGAGGGTACCAAGTGTTACTCACGTGTTAATATTCCTCAAGGATTGTTTGAATGTCCGGGGTGTGTGGAATCAATTTGCTGATGATTGTGAGATCAATTTTGATGAAGTTGAAGTAGGTGAAGGAGTGTAAGAGAAAGTGGGCAAGATGAGGAGGGTGTTCCAGCTTTTATGGGTGCTGAGTCGAAAATTATGCTAGAAGCTGATTGGCGAGATGTCCCCTGCGGCACATGCAGGAAGATTTCCTCGACCCTACCCGCTAAACCCGTACCGGTACACTCCTTGGAAAAGCGAGAAACCACCGAGTTATATTCCTCGAGTCTGTAAGTCCCTTGAAAGGTCGTTTGACGTTTATTCAAACCCTTATGAGGGTGTTTAAAATGGTCCGTGCACAGCTCAAGTGCTTTTGGGTTGTTGAAGATGAAGTCAGTGTCAATTAGATAGCAAGTGGTCGTGTAGAGGCTGATACCAATCAATAAAGTTTACTTCTTTGCAAATCAAAATCAAGATAGACTGTATGACTTTGCATTCGCTTCTTGCTCATACCTTTTAGGAAGTTGTGTAAAGGGGCTAATGTTGCAGTCGTATCATCTCTTTTCATTCACTTGTGACGTAAGTTAATCATTCGTCGTTCGAATCGTCCCTGAGAATTTACTGGACAATATTCTGGGTTCCAATCGGTGGCCTGAAGATATCGACAAGTGTCAAGTATTTGCTAATCGGTCCTGTGGCATTTTAAAGGTTTACACTTCTCGTTTAGAGTGATGTATAAACGTTGACCAAATACCTAAGAAACCATCTGAAGATCTACCATTCAACTATGGGTGAAAATGAGATTGTTTAAATATTTGTCGTGTTGGTCCGGGAGGCCTCCTGTCTCGCTGAACGCCTACGCGTGGCCCATTGGTCGAGTGAGTTTTAGAAATGGGGATGTCTATGTTCTCATAACCGCGTGATATTCAATATAGCAATTCTTCTTCATAACTAAGCACTGCTCCTCCTTCAGCATCATCAGATAGATAGTGTCAATTGAAATTCGTGAGTTATTGAGGTTTTAGGCAGCATTGCTTAGTCATCGTAAATGTTGTGGTTGTTACCAGCCTGCTTATGTAAATGATCCATAAGCGTGGCACTGTAACGGTAATCCTGCGAGCGTGCTCAGAGGAGTATAGCCTGCTAAACAATCGGTAAGGGATGCTGATCCTTGAACATGTCCTTGATGTAGATTCTTGTTGATTCCTTTGAGAAAAAGAGATACTATTGGCATACAGCTAAGCTAGCCATTTTCAGATCAGATTTACCAAATTTACAGCTAATATAACATGATACAACATCAACACTTCTCAGAACAATATAAGATAAAAATGAGACAGTCGCAGCACTATGTCTTTTAGAATTAGAAGGTCCATAAAATTGGTAATTCTGGCGACAATATGATCGCGTGAAAGATTTGCACCCATGAACATTGGACTACAAGGAATTTGCATTGATTTGGACACAGACAATTGAAATTCTGTCGATTGACTACCACATAAGAAATATCAGAAGCTACTAATATCATCCACCGCATGATTCAAGCATCTGCACATCATCTCTGCCCGTTTCCATTTCATCTCCTACTTCCCGGTGGCAATTTAATTCCCATCTGCAAGTTCTCCATTATCTTCTTCACACTCTCAATCCCACCATCTAAATATACAGCCCCAATCACCGCCTTGACTGCTCTGCCGATAACACGGGTACTGTCTTCTCGGGTGTCCTCTTTGACGAGTTCTATGATATTGCGGAAAGATACTGGGGAGCTGGGCTGAGGACGAATACATGATGCTATAGTCGGGTAAGCAGAGAGGGAGACGCGGGAGAGGATACGGTTTAGTATTTGAGAGGCTTTTACTGTTTAGAGAAGTCGACTTAGTATATTCATGGCTGTCGATATGTTGTCGAAGATAACACGATGAAATCAAACAAGAGAAGACATACCTTCAGGAATACTAAACAAGTAAAACTGTTCCCTCATTACCAATCTAATAGCCATCTCGCCTAATTTTGTAAGTCCTTCATTGCCGTCCAAACAGATTCGCATACTTTTTCCGACACACGTGACGCCATTCTTAGGCGTTTCGAGGGCTTCCTCGAGAATATCAGGATTGGTGAAGGTGTAAGAGAGAAAGGATTGCAGGATTGGAAGCCAGTTGTTGTTCGTGGCGGGGTTGAAGTGGGCAACGCCACGAGAAGGGAGGCGGATGATGCGGTTTGTTGAATTTGTAACGGAGGAAGAAGCTGAATTGGTGTTGAAGATTGGATCGCGAGATTTGTAAGAGGGGGAGGGGGAAGCTGGGGGGAGTATGTGGTTTGTGGGGTAATGAGAGAAGGTGGCTGCTGTTGTGGAACTGGCGTTTGCATGTTGGTTGCGAGACTTTGTGGAGTAGTTGGAGCTGTTGGTACTAGGGTTTCTTGAAGGAGGACCGCTAGCTGGGGATTGGCGAGGGTGTGGGTGAGTATCTTCTTCGTAGACGTCGTGGAAGGGGTTATTTACTCCCGCATCCTCTTCAAATTCTTCCCAATCTTCGGGTTGGAGCATGTTGGAATCTTGTGCGGTGTCTTGATGGGATTGGAAATTTGCTGTCTGTGGAATTTGAGTGCGATAGTTGTTGATTGTATCAGGCATTTGAAGTATTGGGAAGTGTTTGTGCAAATTAGTAGAGCATACCAGATAAATTTGATGTTCTTGACGGGGTGGAGAGCAGACTATATAAGCCCCAGAAGCTGCGTTTATGTAGCTGCTACTTTATCTTGTTATTCAGAGAACTGTTTGAGTTCCAAAGACACATTCAGATACCCGATATAGGAGATGTGAATCACGAAAATACACTTGTGTTGTTTACGCGCTTATTCACATATATTGCAGAATCGTCTTATATATGAGAAGACATTCACAAAATAAAAAAGTACCCAATATCTACTGATGCAAAGAGCCAAATGAGAAAATAGGGTCCAGTGACTAGAATACTTGAGTCTTAATGTCATAGTCTTTGAGGATTTAGCACGGCGTCCAAACGGCGATGATAATGTAGGATGTGTGGAGCAATGCCCTCCAGCACTAAGAAATCCAGATTGCGGGGGTGGCATTCATCATACTATTCAGCTCCTTTGTCACTCACACTCAGACTTGCACACAAAGTCATAGACATGGAGTTTTCTAAATTGATATCATTCTCTCTCTCTCTCTCTCTCTCTCCTCTCAGTTCCTAGAACTCAGTAGCGGACAAAAGTAATCACGGTATATATCAAGAAATGAAAACTTCAATCTTCTGTTCCTCTGTTTTTTTTGCTGATGATCTGCGATTGTTAGGATTCACATTTAGGCGAGTGTACTTGTCGAGAAGTAGAGGATGGGAGTGGTGTCCAGTGATTAGGAGACTGGAGGTCAGATTTCCTGTCGGAACACTGAGTGGCGTTGGTTTATCGCATACATTGATGAATATAGAGTAGTTTGCATTGGATGACATTCATCGATATCTTCTCTCTTGTCTGGCGGGGTGATGATCTAATTGTCAGTATTGAGATTCGCAATGGATGCTTCGAAATGATATCATCCGAACACTCAATTTTAGAGTCAATTTCGCTCTAAAGGAGAGTTGTAATCCACCCAAACTATTCACGGGAGTGGAAGACTAATTCCATTCCATCGCGAGTCAACGAAGCAAAAATCTCCATGTCAATCAATAGTAAGTTCACTTTTCATCCGATATTGTAGGATGACTTCAATTTATCATCAGAAACGTTGACTGTTTGTCCACAAACTTCACTGGCAGCTTACACATCGAATATCAGTTCAGATGCCATGTTACACAATTTACAACTTTTATGGTACATTATGAAACAATTACTTGTAGGCAATCATGAGAATCATCATACTCATTAAATCCTAGCTCAACTTGAGCACTAGTAGATGGAGCATGTTTTCCCGACATGAGACAGAATTTCACCGTCTTAGAGATTCAACGGCAATGGCGCATCGCATCATCTCGTGAATTCGAGCCAGTCCCGCAAAAGCAATGATCCTCCAACTGCCAAATTTTTCTTCCCATTAATCTCATATGATCTCTCATATGTATCCTCAGCTTAATAGTTGCCCCTCTGCCGACTCCCAGTCATTTCATCAGTCCCCGCAAGCTCTGTCCTCTCCTTTGTTGGAACACCCCCTGGCAGATTATTTCCCTTTCGACTCTGGGGTACCGTGCTAGCGTTAGCTGCTTCTGGCTCCGCGGCATATTTCTTCAGATCCTCTAGTGAAATTGCATCCCTGTTTTTTGTTAGTTTATCTTCTGGCAGTCCTTTAATCCTTCGCTTCTGATTTGATAATCGATCTCCCGCCGCCGCATTTTCCGTTCTCATCAACATCAAACCCAGCAAAATTATCTTAAGGGAGGATGGGGATTTCGCTGCCATGATGATTTCGAAATTGAGATGACAAGCATGAATAAGGAAACTTACAAAGCTCTCTCGTGAGTAGCATGCAAATGCACCTTAGGTACTAAATTCTCGTCCTTGGAATTTTTGGCTGCTTCCATTGCTTCTTTCCAGCGACTGGCACATAGACACCATTTCTTTCCTCCAGTCAAGCCGGCATCGCGAAGATTGTTACCACGGGACGCAGAGAAATCAAGGAAGCTGTCTGTTAAAGTTGCTTTGGGATGCATTAGTTTTATCTCTTGAATGAAAGAGGGAGCAAAGGAAAGAAAAGGGTGACATACCAGCAACCGAGTGATTACCCGTATCCTCTGGACCAACATCACACTGTCCATCTCTGTAAAATCCAGTTCCTTTCGCAAATTGACCGAGAGGCTTGTTGAATACTATTTTACCTCTCCGGTTAGTGTCTATCTCTTCCTGCTGAATGGTGAGTGAAGCTATCTCGACATACCATTGAGTGATTTATGAGCTTTTCCAAAGCTATCTGATCGTCCTTCATTCGCCATTTTGACTCTAGTGGTAGAATATGTCTTGAAACTAGGAAAGACTGAACTTCGGAAGATTTGACGACGAGTGATTGAGACAGAATGCATACAAATTACACAGGCAAGTTAATTTAATGTACAAATGGGATTAAGTTGAGATATGAAAATTGTCAAACAAAAGGAAAGAAGTTGTTAGAGTTGAAGAGTTGATGAGTGGTGTATGCACTAAGGAGCATGGTCTCAGGTCCATGACGTTGTGATTCTGTAATGACACTATTGAACCAGGAACAATCAATTGTAGAGATTCGATCAAAAGACTGAGACATTAATAAACCTTCCCGTTCCCATTCGAGAACACAAAGAGTGATTTCAACCAATTGTTCAGGAAGCTGAATTAGTTCTTTATCGAAGTTTATTAATGATGTTGAACTTGCTGGGAGAGTGCTCCCGAGTTATGATATCATTGCTTACATAAAAAGTGTCTCTGAATTTATACTCGATTCGAGGTTGGAAGATACTACATTCGGACAACGAATTTGGATTTCGCTGCAGCTCGTGTTTAATGTTGAATAATCTACGTGCAATAGAACACAAGATGCAGTTGAAGACTAACCGGCATTCAAAAGGAGATCCGGAATTGGATTCCATCCCGTTGCAACATTGGCATGAGTGAGATGATGGTAACAATAACTCAAATAGGAGATTCGAAAGACCTTGAAGTTATCCATCAAACGATCTTGGCACCTGCTTCAATACTAGGTTGCTCATACAAGAATGAGGAGTATTGTTATACGGCCACGTACATATGTTACTTGGGATGGGATTGAAGGGAATGTAGGATAATTTTGCAGAGACTAAGGCAGAAAGAGGAGTTGCCTTTTGCACCTTCATCCATATCTTCATCCAGAACTAACAAATATCGAATGTCATGATCTTTCCGTTCCTTCACACTTTTCTCTACTGCTTTCAACGGACGAAAGAGCGGTGGCATGGAAGACATGGAATTGAAAGCTTTTTGATCACCTCTTCTCGTGACCATAAAATCTACTCCAACATCGATATATGCGAGACCAAACAGATTGACCTGGTGTCTTTGACAAACATACGCACATCGTCCCTCATCATTCACGACTCCTATCTCCAAAAATCATGATACTAACAATCGGAGCCGGTACAGCAAATCTCGCAAACACATCTGAAGGTAATCTGATATATGTGAAAAGTTATCACTTGACATCCCACGAGAAATGAGGCACTTGGTGTTCCCGTAGGACTTTTCTGTTAGCATGCACCATTACAGCAATTCCCACCTGAGATAATCCATATATTCTTCACCCCGCAATTTCTCACATATCTGGGGATGCCACTGACAAATCGTGAGAGGGTCCTACCGCTACCACAATTCCACGCCACCGAATAACAAAAACTCAATCAAACGAATAACTTTTTGCAAGTTCCAGTTTTCCTGCCTTCTTTTCTTCTCTTCTTCTTCTCTTCTTCTTCTTCTTCTTCTTCTTCGAAAAACTTGGTCACTTACAGAAAGTACGTATCCGTCGCACGTGGTGTAAATCAAACGTGACGTGCAGTAGTCACTTGTACCTACTTGTTTATGTTTTGTATGCAGCTATCCAGCGGCTCCAAAATTGTTACACCCGAGGCAATGATCGACTCCATTTCAGCCCACCACATCTTCAAAGATTAGGAAAAAGAAAAGATAGAATTTAAAACACAACCCATTTATGATCAGTCAAACAAAACGCTACATAGCTCGTATGTGGGTAGCTAAACGAAAAAGAAAAGTCGGGATTTCAATCGACTAAGGGAAGAGGTAAGATTACAAAATTTCGAGAGATTTCCAAAGCGTCTGAGCAATCATCAAAACAGACAAAAATCGATCGATCCTTACTTTCGTTTCATTTCCAAAAGGTTTCGTCTCATCTCTCTTCTCGTTTCATTCCTCCAATCCTTCCGTGCAACCACATTTACATTCGTGAACTTGTAGATGTACTTGGCATGTTTTCCGGCCAGACGAAAGCGAAGATCTGGAGGCGAGCGAACATACACTCACTGTAAGGGAAGATAAATTCAGGTAATAATCTGCAACTGTCATACCAGAAATAGCCACGGATATTCAGGAACGCAGGCACGTCAGCCATACTTTAACACTTTTCCAAGCTCCTCTTTTCCCGAAGGATCATCTAATATCTCTTGAGGCAAGGTTTCGCGGGCTTGCCTTTCCGGAAATCCAGAAATCATCGAACTGAATTCAAATGATATACAATCATGACAATGTTTCATGCTCTCATAAAATGTGTATAAATTTCCCAAGCAACGAAATTAGAACCATTTACAGAACAATATCCACCAACATAGCTTGTACAACCTCTGTAGCACCAATACCATAGTACAAAAGTAGTTATTGGACCTTTTAGATCAGTGAGAGAAGACAAACACCAATCGAGATTTGATCTCACCCCACTTTTGGTAGTGACAACCTAGCAAGATGAACCCTTAAAAGGAAATAAAATATGCCTAGTTATTTGACGGTGGTACGGATATCTTGATACGTACATTTTCCCACCCAAACCACTCGAGCTATTCATTTTCTCCACGCGCTCTTGCATAGAGAATGGGATTTTAGTCTTCGCGAGGGTTACTAAATCGAACAAGGTATGACGGGCCGAGGCTTGGGAACATGAGTGAGGAGGAGGAGGAGGAGGAGAGACAGGGATCTAATGAAGAATTGAGTTTTGGAGACTGGAGCTGATGGATATAGAGATGGTTACTGATGAACGGACGGATTATATCATATCATACTATCGTAGGGTTTGCCATTGAAGCATGAGAAAACCGAAGAAGAGATGTTGGGTAACCGTAAGTTCGGATTGATAAGGTATCAAAAGCTAACAGAGAGTGACTTTAGGTTATCCAGCCCCCAGCCATCTGTAGGGCATTCTGCTGACGAAGATAGTGTGGGTGACACTGCATAGCGCGAAAAGAATGTTCTCTTGCATATGGGAACGTATGATGATGAATATTGCCCAAAGAGGTGACGGTGTGAGATTTTGGCGAATTGTTTTTGATCCATTAATTGGTGATTCATCAGGAATTGGAATAACATTCGCTCTAGAAGGTCGAGAATGAAATCAAGTCATACAACCGTAAGTTTTGAATAGTTGACCCAAATGTAGTTTCGGGTGAGTGTGATGAGGAAACCCCGATTTAGACGAGAAAATGGAAACTCTGATGAATCGTTGGCTCAGCCAAATGTAAAGAAAGGTTGGAAAATCATAAATTCGACCGGGGGCATTGAAAATCTTGACACTAAGATCAAGTACAGTAGACGGCTGACGAGATTCTACCCCTCATTCATCCTCAGATGAGAAGTTCGGACTGATTATTCTTTTCGGGATGTGACGTGACGCCGAGATGGAGAAAATGTTGCTGCATTATTTGACATTTTAATATATTTGTCCCGAAGTACAAGACCTTGTGGGCACTTGATTATTCGAACTTAATGCCGACCTACCTATAATTTTGTGAAACCAGTACTGTCGTCGCTACGGAAAGTGTAAATGAAGGGGTAATTCCTGCATGCTTGAAAAAAAAAAGAGTTCGAGTAGCGAATTTACATCTGTAGGTACAAATACAGGAACGCTCTCGATTTATGCCACGCGCATTTACAGATATAACTATACTCTTATCAGAATTACCCGACGGAAATATTGAGTCTAGTGAATAGTTGACAAATGCATCGATGGTGCATCTTTCACTGTTTCTTAGTGTAACGTTAGTTCAAAAATGCCAACGAGGTGCCCGGAAAATGGTCCAGGTAACACCAACACTAAATGTTCTCCATTTGAAACCTTTCTGGGCAAGGCCATCCGGGTATGGCTAGAGGAATTTACCTGGGGCATTCAAATTGAAGCGGCGTTTATGGGTTATGAAGTGGAGGTAAAATAAAGGATCGGAGTCGCCATCTAAATCATCTTGTTGTCTGGCGACGGTTGTTCAGCAGGTCTAATAACAGGCAGGCCTGGGAGCAAAAAGCCATTGCGAACGAATCGGGAGAATCCAATCCCTTCCTTGTCTTAGATGGATTTGCCGAACCTTGTATTCTGAAGAACTCGGGCCTTGAGAGGAAAAAAAGTAGATTTCCACACCAGAACGTTAATGTTCGAGATGAATAATGCCAATAAAACTTATTAATATGCTCGTCCAACTTCATGGATATTATGAGATTTCAAATCAGAAATGGAACTACATGCCCAGGCAATCTTATTGTATATTCTGGAGGTTTGCTCTTCACAGATGAATACCATAGAATCATCCAAACTATCCTTGTTAAAAGCCAACGACAATTGGGATCTAGGGATCTAGGGATCTAGAATCCTTGAATGCGAATCGTTCAAGTCAGGTACAGTTCGGCAGCAGTGCAGTGCAGTCAGTGCAAACGATTTGGAGATGGCTACCTTAAACTTAAAATAAGTCCCAGGAACTCGAAAAAAGAAGAGCTGAAGGCTGTGTTCGTTGTTCTTGGCCTGACACAGTAAGCGTAATCGTGGAATTTGGTACAAGATCTTACGAATTTTGAAAAGTGGCAGTCAGCAGGATCTCTGAAGCTCTCGTTCATCTCTTTGGGGCTCTTCTTTGAAACAAGTATATCATATTCAAGCCGTCTCTATACATACAGTTCGTACTTGATTCGAGAAAAGAGGGTTGAGAGCTTGTAAGAAAGATGGGTCAATGTAGATAATACCCGAAGATATGAGAGGGACTCAAAGATTCACGGATACTGTAGAGAGATAAACACCCGCAAAGACACAACAAGAGTGGAGCATTATTATCTTGAACTAAAGGCAACATGCAATCTGAATAGCTGGAAGACTGGTGGACTGGAGCTTCGAAGGTGTGGTTTGAAAGGTACCCAGGTATACTTCGTGGGTAGGTAGCTTCATTCTGTAATTTCTGTTGTACCATAAGAGGAAAAAAGTAATACTCAATAGGGTTATCGAAAACTTTATATAAATAAAGTTTGGTTTCATGGTTCACCTGGGCAGTATGTGTTACCCTGTTTTTGCCACCAACAGGCGTTCTTCAATCATAAGTGTGGTTTGATGTTCGCCCTATGAGAATATTACTTGAAATGAATGAGTTGTAGCACAAGATTCGGTGTACAATTCACTGTACTTCGTATGTACCCAAAAGACCAAGAAGAAAGACCAAGAAGACGCCCCGACTTATACCTACCTATATCATATTCATATCGGTGACATACGATGCATCCTTACTGAATGACTTTCAATACCTAAATGATATCCCTGCTCATGCTGCAACCCCAGTCGGTGAATCGTACGGGAGAATCATGTACGGAAGTACTAGGGAATGGTAGTGTAGA